GAAAATATAAACATATTTTTTGCCTGTAGTTATTGCGATTGCATTGCTTTATTTTTTTTTGAAATATACATACTTTTATAATAATTATTTTGAATTAATTTTTGCTTATTTTAAAATTGTTAATGATTTTTAAAACACTATAAACATTATTAATACTTAAATTATTCTTTCATGGAATTCCTTTCTTATAAATAAAGCTTGATAGATACTTGAATTATTAGAACGTTAGAACATTTTGATTTAAAGAAAACTCGAGATTTTTGCAAAAAATATAAATTAACTAAAATACGACAATAGTAAGCTATTTATCATTGAATATATTGAAAATGATATTTATCGCAAATAAAAATAAAATTTAAAATATTTTAATTAATTTATAATGACGAATGTAGATTTTTCAAATCCACTATACATCATATTTTATTCTAGTTTATAAATTTACAATATATGTGTGTGAACAAATATTTATAAATTGTCCAGTATAATAATTCAAAAATATGCAGAATAAATAATAGATAATTATTAAACCGCTATAATTATTCATAGATATCAATTAAAAAATATCGCACGTTTAATTATTAAATTTAATTTAATGGTGAAAGTACTTTTATTAAAAATCAATAATACTTTGCATTTAAATATTTCGGTTAGTATGTTCTTATGAGACATGATATATAAAATATTTTTCTAAACGGCTGAGTAACTATATGTTCAGAATAATTACATGTTCCTAGGAAGGCTTTTAAGTCAACTAACGACCATTGAAATGTCACGCATTATAGGATCGTGAGTTTTATTTTAATACGAAATATATTAGAGTGTGCATGTCTAGAAATATAAACCCAAACAAATTAAATCTAAAATGTATTAGTCAGCCTTATCTAAAAAAAAATCAATAAACAAAAAGCAAGATGTTACATCAATGTTTAAAAATCATTTAGGAATTCTTGGAGTTATATCTTTGTTATAGTAATTTGTGATAACCTTTGCATCTTGTCGACTTTGAACATTGAATATTGAAGACTTTAATGAAAAATATCTCGATTGTGATTGAAATAGTGTGATTTCTTTCCGAATAACAGATAAAAATGTCACAATTCGATTTTATTCACTTTCTATACAATTTTGTAAGTTTCTGGATGAATATGTTATGCAATGTTTGTTATTGTTGAAGAAATATCATGATATTCCAAATTTTGTGACTGACTGATTTATGATGTACAACGTTATACAAATGTTATGATACAAAAATATTGATATGTATATACAAAAATTTATAATTGTGTAAAATAAAATATTTAAATTATTTTATTAATTTGAATTGATTGTTTAGACTTTTTCGGGAATACGAGCTGTTGGAAATGTATTATTTGCCATTTAAAATAAATATAAAATGTAATGATTCACTACAATAAATAAGCATGTTTTTCATTCTTTCAGTAGGTATTTAATCAAGTTGTTAATATGAAGTATGAAGTTTTTGAACAAAATCTAATTATTTTTCAGAAGGAATTGAAAGAGCCGGTAATAATTTATGTTGTTATATTGACATAATGATTACAAATTAATATTGACTTTTAAGAAATGTATTATTACTATTAAGAGTACATACAAAATGTAATCATCTACTGACATAAATAAGCATGGATTTTTTCAGTCAGCTTCATGTATGCATGTGTGGATACAATTTTTCATCGACGTTTTCGGGAGCACCACTTAATCGCTTTGAATTATTCAAAAAGCATTAGATTCCTATTGATGGGGAGACGTGTTGATTAGTTTTTGACAAAAGTTGGCCCCGCCGTTTCGTTGATACGGAGCAAAGAGTTTGGCAGTGTGTGAGAGAACGGAGCATTCGATTAGAATGATTCGAAAAGCATTCGATTCCTATTGATGAGGAGAGGTAGTGACTAATATTTGATAGAAGTTGGCCCAGCCGTTTCGTAGATCAGAGCAAACAGTTTGACAGTGTGCGAGAGAACGTAGCATACGAATTGAATAACTCAAAATACATTCGATTCCTATTGATCAGGAGAAGTACTGATTAGTTTTTGGCAAAAGTTGGCCCTGTTGTTCCGTAGATTGGAGCAAAGTGTTTGGTAGATTTGATTGATTCTAAAAACATTCCATTTGTATTGACGAATTGATTAAATTATTCAGGGGCAAGTCCAGCGATTTCAGAGATCGAAAGAATAGTTTAAAAAAATTTCATTTGGCGGTCAAGAATCAAAATTTTGGACAGTCTGGATCAACCCACATGCATGCGCATCAAAGACTATCAAAAAATTTCAAGTTTTTCATAATTTTGTCAGAATTGTATAAATGTTAGGGTTTTTTGGAGTTTGCTGTTTCTTTAAATTGATTTTTGATGCAATATTTCTTGTGCATTAGTTTTTTCTACATTATAAACTTTAATTAGATTTCTGTAATTAAAAAATCTGTATACATGTGAAAAACTTGAGTAAGTGATATTAAATAAAAAATAGGATTATTAGCAAATCATGTCTTCATCAGAAATTTATTTAACCTTCGCTTAATACGACTATTCCCAACTTTTCATCAGTGATAAGTTATGAACACCCCACTTGAATTTTACAAAATGATTGTTTGTTGTTTGGCACTGACCCTTCTATGGCGAGTTAGCTATTAAAATGAAATCACGACTAATTTCGGCTCATAACCACTATTATTTGACCGCCGAGGTAGAACTACTACATCATGCGAACACTCAGTTTTCAAATTACTTGGCGGCCGTATAATTTGCTGATACATTTGAGCCTATTCTATAAGTAATATGTAAATACGTAATTATAAGGTCAAATCAGCACGTTTCTAGCATTCGTAGTAGGTACATTTATCAATATTTACATATAAGAATTTTTATTCAAATACCATTTATGGCTTTTTGGATACAAAGGTAATGGACGATTCTAATCCGAATGTGATACCAGAAAATTACTGTTAAATACCTGCTAAATGAGGCAGACGCATTAATAAAATATAATTTTACCCCGACATATTGAAAAAAATAATTAGGATTTCGTTGTGTATAACATGGTTTTGAAAAATGTTACATATATACTAGCTAACCCGGCAAAGGTTGTGTTATCATAAGGTGTTTCTAAAACAAATATTTTACTCCACATATTGAAAAAATAATTGGGATCTTGTTGTAATTAAAATTTTATATATTTTTGAAAAAAAATTCATATATACTAGCGGGCCAAGCAAAGGATGTTGTTATTATAAGGTATTTGTAAAAAAATATTAAAAAAATAATTGGAATTTTGTTGTAATTAACATTTTTTATGGTTTTGATAAATGTTACATATATACTAGTATGCCCGGCAAAGGTTGTGTTATCATAAGGTATTTCTAAAAAAATATTTTACTTCACATATTGACAAAATAATCGGAATTTTGAAAAATGTTACATATGTACTAGCTAGGCCGGCAAAAGTTGTTTTATCATAAGATATTTCTAAATAAATTTTTGAGAAATCAACAAATTGCTTAATTTTTATAATGGTATAATTTAATCCAAGACATTTCTTAGCCTTGCAATATATAGTCATAAATAAAAATTGAAAGAAAATGGTTGGAAAAAGTATTATGGGTTGACAACCCTTAATAAAAAAAGGGATTTTTATGTTAAATTTAAGAATTTGTATAAGTGAAAAATATTCAGTCTGAATGCGGCATAAAAAATTGTTTGATTACCAAAATTACTATTACGAAATACAGGATTTTGCTAGCATGGTGAAAATTCAGGGAAAATATTATTGGTCTAAAAATGGAAAAAAATCTTAGAGGTGGATAACCCTTACCACTTATGGGCATAAAAATAGATGTTGGAAATATAGATAACATTTCTAAATATGTTTGTTTCAATTTTCGGACACAGTTGTGCTATTTTTTTCAATTAAATTTTTGCTGAAGTAATATATTAAATGTAAATATATTATAATATTAAGAAATTTAAATTATGTACGCATATACAAAACGAGACAAATTTAGTTCAAGTAAATAAAATATTTTAATAAAAAAAATATTTTGAAAATAAATGGCCAATTTTTTTTTTATTTATTTATAGCAATAAAGATACAAAAATGCCCAAAATGTTTCGAAACAAATTTTCTCCTTATACCCGGACTCCTTACTATTCTTCTTATTAATGGATTTGTATCCGATTTAAACATTTTAAAAAATTGCTGATGTTTCATGATGAAATATGTGTAAATGTTCAGAAAAAAAATCACAACAGTTTTGCTGTTTTATAGTAATTAAATTCAGAATTATTTATAAAGTTATATATACACATCTTATAAGTTATATATAAAAATATAACGCAAAATTAAATTTATTTCCCCACGATTAATTAAAGTATTCAAAGAAAGAACCTCAAAAAATTCTAAATCCTTCCCTTTCTGCTATTTTATATTAAAATTTTTGCTGTTTTATATCAATTAACTTCAAAATTATATATGAAGTATTATAAACACATCTTATAATTTATATATGCATATGTAACGAAAAATTTAAATTTAATTTATTATATTTAAATTATTTGAAGAAAGAATCTCAAAAATATCTAAATCTTTCTCCTTTCTTGTTCGTTTTCAGAATTTTGCTATTTTGAGTAATAAATATTTGAAAAATACCGCAGAAATAAATATTAAAATATTAAAATTATAAAAAATATTTATTATTAAAATATTTAATAATAAAATATTAAAAAATATTTAATAATAAAATATTAAAAAATATTTAATATTAAAATATCAAAAAATATTTGATAATAAGATATTAAAAATATTCAATAATAAAATATTAAAAAAATATTTAATAATAAAATATTAAAAAATATTTGATAATAAAATATTAAAATATATTCAATAATAAAATATTAAAAAAATATTTAATAATAAAATATTAAAAAATTTCAAGTATTAAAATATTAAAATATTTTATTATACAAAACATTAAAATAAAAGCCTTACCTTGTAAAACAACGCAGGCAACCACGGCGGCGGCAATAACTCTTCCCCTTTTCAGTACCATTGTCCTTATAATAAAATCCTTCTCCCTTGAAAAACCAAACTTCAAGCACTTCACAAAAATTCAAGACGAACTAACACCATTATCAACATCTGTAACAGATTAAAGGTAATTGAAAAACACTTTAGTCTCCACGATTTGGTAATAGATTTACATACACAAAATTAATAAATTAAACTTTATTGATAATAGTTTGACACTGTTCCTATACGACTTTGTTTGAACTTTGAATTATGTCCAAAGAAAATTAAAGATGCGCATACGATTATAACATATAGTTTACTAAAGTCTATTATTAACTTTGTTAGTCATGATAAAATATTTAAAACTCACAATGTTCACGTTAAATACAATTTTGTACCCGCACAAAAATTATAACACTTTCTAATTTTAATTTACCCGTATACAACAAACTTTTAATTGTTGAATTATTATTTATTAAATCGTAAGTATTTTTGCGAAAGCGGCGCAAGAACTCCCCTCGATCCGACACGTTCGAACGTCGAACGACTACTGCAGTTCGGCAGCCAAAGAAAGGTCCCGCATGCGTACGCAAGCGTGGGTGATAGCCATCGTTCTCTTATCAACACCCCGAGGCGGACAAGGATAACACTACTTCCCTCAATCCCCTTATGCGGCAGGGGTTGATAGTATATCCGCACTATTCTAACTGGATTCTTACATACGGAACAATGTGGTACAGAAAGAGACAAGAATAAGTCGCCCCAGTCCTGATTCTAGTGACTTTTGACGTCGTTAATTATTTAAGACGTCGGTGCTGTATTTTTTTGCAATTTTTGTAGTGCTTATATATAATTGTTCTTTTTGCATGAAAGTGTTTTAGTGTAATTATCTGGATGCGTCAAATGATACAGAACGGTATAATGCTGCTGCTTGCTGGTTGCTGAAAGAATTATCTTTTCATTTTTGTCGGCGTAAAAGAAACATGAATGAGTTTACACGTTTTTTGCCGTTGCAGTTTAATATATCATTATTATTTCATGTGATAATTTTACTGCTGCTAATTCAAATTTCATGCGAAAGTACAAATACAATTTAATAAATGGCTTTGAAATAAATGAGCATAAGTATTGGCGAAATTCAAGTTGGTCAGACCAATATTCAAAACTAGTGGGGCGCATGGCATCGAGCCTTAAGGCAAATTGCTGGAACTTCCCGTACCAAAAATTATTTTTTTTTAACAATATTAATATTTTTGAAAAAAAAATTACTCTGAAAAATTTAGATTTTTGAGAAACTATAAATTTTTGTCAAAAGTTTACTTTTTTTTGAAAAAAAAGACTTTTTGAATAAAAATTTATTTTGAAATATTTTGGAAATTCTGAACTTTTTTCAAAGCAATTGTACTGCTTTAACTGCATAGAGTAGAAATATCGAAGCGCGTAAGCGCCGCGTCGCCTTCTAACGGATAAACATTGGTACGGCACCCATAGGAATGTAAACAAAATTTATACTTATTGTTAAAATCTCTATAAAATATCTGATAATTTGATATGCATATGTCTAATGATCATTTTTGACCGCCAAATGGCATTTTTTTTACTTTCTTTACTAGATCTCCCAAACCGCTAGACCTGCCTTCATGAAAATTTGACCAGTTCTCTTCATCTTTTTAATACAAGTAAAATGAATGAATTTCTGAATTGTTTAAATCGGACACTCCGTTCCCTTAAAAACTGAGTTACCATTTTTGGCACTTTTTGCCCCATATTTTCGGAACGACTAGACCTGTCTTCGCCAAAAACTAATCAGCACGTCTCCTCACCAATACGAATCGAATGTTTTTTGAATTATTCAAATCGCTTCATCCGTGTTCCCGAAATCGTCGACGAAAATTTGTATCCGCACACTCACACACATACACGCACATACCCATACACATACATACATACAAACACACACATAAAACCATTTTTTCTAAGGTATGCCAAAATGTTCAAAAACCCCTGAAACGTAAAGATATATAAAAAATTTCATTTTCGATTTTTTTGCGATTACTATAACTTGCCCTACGGGAAGTTAATAAATATTGTTTGTTTTTATTTTTGTTTATTTTGATGAAACTGTATTACTGCCAATATTGTTCTCGCCAATATTGATTATACCAATATCGGTCTCGCCAATATTTGTCCCTCAATATTGGCGATTTTTTGTATATTTTAGTATTTTATTTCAAACTATGAAATCGATCGTAATACAAAGATTGCGATGATAAAAATCAATTCGACAAATGGTTATATCAAAAATTTACTGAATATATTATAGCTAAATAAAAATTTATTTAACAACTAGTTTATGCCATACGCCAAGCCTTAGGGCAAATTGCTAGAACTTTCCGTACCGTGCTTTAATTTTTTTTAAATTTTGAAATTTTTGAAAGTTTTGAAAAAAGTTGATTTTTTGAAAATTCAGGATTCAGTTTTTTGGTACCAAGTCACCCATATATATTTAAACAAATTGAGTGAGGAATTTCCTACTCGAAGGTTTAAATGACCATACGATCTAAATGAAAGTGTTATTAAAAGGAGATATCTCATTGAAGATAAAATCTTTAAAGACATAAAGAACAATACATTGTCTTGAAAAATATATATTTTGATTGACAAATATATGCATATATTAGGTTGTTAAATATCTCCCTTCCGCTTTTTTGCTCTTGGTTTATAATACAAAAAGGCGGAAGGGAGATATTTGACAACCTTATAAAAATTGACAATAAATATAAGATTTTTGATACTTTTGAAAAACTTTGAAATTTTGTATCCGCACATACACACAAACATACATATACAAAAAGTTGAAAAAATAAGCAATTTTATTTTAACTATTTTTTTAAATATTCAATTTTTTTACATCATTTTTTCAATATAGCGGGGTATGGAGGCTTCTTCCTTCAGTAACTATATTAATAATAAATAAAAATTAAACAAGTTTATTTTTTAATGTTTCATTAATAATTATTTCCTGAACTTTAAATAAAATAGAAGGGAAATAATGTTTATGACGATGTATAATTATTTAAAAAAATGAACTTATAAACTTGATAATTATTTATTTATAAAAAAGTATACTGGTTATGAATTTGTAATTCTATCAGTAGATAAATAAAAATTGATCATCAGAACCTAAATCTCATCCCTACTTTTTCACCAGATTTTCGCAGGCTGTAACGTTTCAATAATTTAGTTGGGATCGCGTAAACGAATCTCCAATAATATATGCAGAAGGCAAAATCGTTTGTATTCCTTATCGAAGGTTTTATGTACATTAGCACCTCAATTTAGGATTGATATATTTATCCTAACGACATTTAAATAGACGAAAATAAGTATTTATTTTATATTTGAATACACGTCTGGAATTTTTCACAATGGATTTGAATTATTTATGATTAATCTCTGTGAAAAATAGTCATTTATGATTAATCTAAAAATTAAATAGTTTATTAATGAGATCAAGGTTTTTAAACCTAGATTTTAGAAGTAGTAAAATTTAAATTTTGTTTAGATTTTAATATATTGGTGTTTGAACTATATATTTAGGATATGAAATGTAATTAATAGGAATTTTTCTATAGATTATATTTGACCAAAAAGTTTGATGGTCACTGCGTCTATAAATTACAAAAACACAAACGTCGTATACCAGTAACAAAATGGCTTAAATTGAATAATTATTTTCTTGCGAACCAAAATGCATAATTATATATGTCCTACGAGAAACCGCGAATACCTAATTGTGGAGCTTTATTGCTTTGATGTATGTACAACGCAATAATTAAGCAAAGCATAATAGCACTGCATTTTGGAGCTTTCATGTTTGATATAACAAAAACTAAGGAAAAATATTTAATCAACTAATTCTATCGAATAAATTTGATTGAAAGAAAAATGAAACAAACCTATGCTAAAAATAACTTGTGTTTTAAATTTTTTATCTTAATTATTGGTCGGTCGGATATTTTTTCACCTTCAAACGGTCGGAAAGGTCTGGCTGGACCACCATTCATTTTACATGATATGGGATAAATGAGGTTTTGGTGTCGCATATATTAACGATTATTAGTAGTAAATCTTTATAGTTTTGTTTTTTTCTATTTCTTACCGTCTTTTGCATGTGCTGAGCTTGCTTATAATGAAAATATTACATATTATATTATATAAAAAGAATCAAGAAATATAAAAAAAATCGTTGCTTTTTGTTAATTTTTCTGTTTTATATCAATGAAAAACAATATTTATTCTTTTTCGGCGCCTTTGAAATGAATGTGAAATTCAAATGAAAACGAAATGAGGTGCGTCGCCTTTGAAATAAGCTGTAAAACTCTGAAAGTGAAAATATAGTTACAATATTTATAATAATCTATTTGAAAACATTCAGTATTCCTCGAACATTTCGTTACGGTACGGGAAGTTTCACTCCACTAGTTTTTTTTTTTTTGCATTTTCACTAAAAATTTTGTTTGATGCTAGAGTTTATGGCCTGCTATACAAATACCGTAAAATATTCTTAATTATTCTTATAGTCCTACAAAAAGTGGTCCAATTATAAAAATCATTAAAATTTGGAATAATGCAATGCAATCACAGATTTTATATGTCTGTTTAAAAGGTATCAATTGTAAACAGCATTGATAATATTTAACAAATAAATTACTAAAAAACTATTTGGAATGCCCCAAAGTATGTACCGAATTGGTTAATACAGACAAACAAAAGCCGTTTCGAAGACTATCCAAACCCACTTGCCAAAGAACAATGCTTCAACACTACCAGTGCAAGATTGAAAAAAATACATACAACTCTATCTGGAATAAATAAAAGTCTAAAACTAATTGTTTCTAAACTAATAGTTTTGTGGGAAACGTGCAAATTACAAAAACATAAAGGCACACAAAAGCTAGATTTTCTTATTTATTTTGATATTATAATTCTAATTATATATTATATTAGCATATAAGTTAATTTCTGACAAATGGTGTGAAATTATTTAGTTACGATTTTGGCTTAATTCACCTACAGCCAATTTTTGTTTGCAAAATGCACATATCAAATGAATTTTTGAACTTTTC